TACATGCTATCAAGTGGGTCAGGCAAGATTTGGTGAGCTAAAGTCCTTATGGGATAGTTTTTTTTCTGCTGTTTGCACCTCAAGTGTAGAGAAAGTTGGGTATTTATGATTGAGTCTTCCCTGTTGTCTGCACAGGCAGTTTCCTTAAAGATGCAAAGATAAGTACCTTGTGCTTGAAGAGGTGCTCTGTTTCCAGCTTGGTTTTTTTGCTGCTATGTCTGTAGCTGCCCCTGTGCCCTGTGTATGCTTGACTTACTCTGCTCTAAGTGAGGACAGCTCTCAAAGCTGCCTGTGAGGAAGAGAGAGCCTTTCTATCAGTGGGTGCTGGAGTGAAGGCTGCACATGCTGTTGCCAAAAAGCGTGGTTTTCCATGTTTGTGTCTGTAGCTGGAAGTGTTGATGCTTGGCAATCTTGTGGGCAATGTGAGGTTAATAACACTGCTGGATCTTTTTTTGCTTGTCTTACAGAGATGGGTGTTATGCCTGAGATAGCTCAAGCAGTGGAGGAGATGGACTGGCTGTAAGTAGGAGTGTGACAAACGCTAATTTTCCTTTCGTCAATGTATGACATGCTTCTTAAAACTCCTCTGCTGTCACATTTAAGCAAAGTGGATGTGTGTTTTCCTTCAACTGTCTTTGCATATCATGTGCTTCCCTGTAGAGAAGAACACAAACTGTGACTGCAGCAGTAACATTTAAACTTGGACAAGCAGAGCGTGACTTCTTATGCTTTGCTCCGTTTGTTTCACAAAAGGCTCTGTGCTTCTGGTTTATATATTATGTATCATGGGGTTATTGGTATTATGTATCATGGGGTTATTGGATTAAATACTGTCACATAATTGATGCTAGTTTAGTACGTGTTTTCCAGACTGTGGTCTGTGATTGCGTTTTTCAAACTTAATGCTTGTGTGTCAGTCTTCTAAGAAAGTTATTCTTGTGTTTGGTTACTTGTTTGGCAAAAATATTTTAACTTCAGAGTTTGTTTTTAATTGTCATTCAGAATGTTGTCAATATGGACAAACTTAATGTATGTATTTCTTCTTATATAAATGGTATTAATTAGCTTTGGTTGTCTGAAAATGCTGGTTATGTTTAGTTATTTTTATTTCCATTTCTGGTTTTGAACAAGAATCATGTAAGGGCTGCATAAGTGGCTTTAAAGAAAAACTCAAGAAAAGAGACAAGGAATATATATCTTAATAAGTTTCTTTTATAGTTTAGCATAGTGATGTGAGATGGAGTCTCTTATCAAGGTGCAGTTGAATCTGCTGCAAACCAGGGGGAATAGCAGTTACCTGCTTTATATTGCAGATGACCATGGTTTGTGTGAATATCTATATAAGTAAAAAATTATTTTTCCACTTGCATAGAACATTACCTTGTGTTAATGTGTTCTTTCCTGTAGTCTCCCTACGGATATCCAAGCAGAATCCATCCCGTTGATCCTGGGAGGTGGCGATGTACTGATGGTATGTCTGCAGGATAATCCTATTCATATAAATCCTGTGTATTTTAATCGTTAGTAGTGTGGTCAGTTTTGTTCTTTCCACATGTGTCCATAGTTAGACTAGCTCTCCTGTCCTAATTCAAAAGTATATTCTTCAGGTAAAATCCTCTTTGAGTTCCTGGTGTGTTTCCAGCTGTTCTTGCAGATGAAATCTGGGGGAATTAGGCTTTATTTTTTGACTTATTGACAGACACTGCCACATGAATGAGGGCTGTCTGATCTCATCTACTCTCCTTTTGGCTGTAAATACGTGACATAGCTCTGCATGGAACATGGTTAATACTACCTAAGCCAATGCTGCAGTATCAACAACCTCAAAAGTATGAGATTAGTATGCCCTGTTCATCATGTCTTTTATGGATCTCTGTGCTCTTCATTCCATAAACCAAAATAACACTTCATAAAAAATAAACTTAGTTTATCAAAATAGAATTCTAGAAGAGTCCTTACATTCCTGGTTAAACTCTTGTATTTTTCTTCTATAGGCTGCTGAAACTGGGAGTGGAAAAACTGGTGTAAGTAATAAAATTTAAATTAACAGAAAGTAAAAGTCTTTAGGTGGTGAGAGGTGTTGTGTATGCGTATATGCAGAGAATGTGTATATGTGTTTAAGCATTATTGGTAATAGTCTTCAGCAGCATATAT